AGGACTGAGCTGTGACCAAATGTGAGCCACGGGAGACAAATTCTGTCTGCAGTCTTGACCAGAGCGGGGAACTGTAAAGACTGGCTTTTAGAGGAGCATGATCTTATTTCTTTAGTGTAGTTTGGAAGTGCTGCAGTTTGTTTATGAAGTTTATTCCTGGAGCCCCTCTGCCTATACCTCTCCTCCACCCCTCAAGCTCCTCAAGCGCCATTTTTTTTTCTCCCTCTGCCTAGAGCTCTTCCGTGTCTGCTTCCGATAATGTGGGCATCATGCGAGCCTTGTATGAAGTCTGACTTTTAAGTACCCGAACTTCTGAAGAGGTGTTGTCTGAAAGATGGGCTTTACACCTGAAACATGGTGTGGAAAGCCAGAATCGGATTGCTTTTGAACGGTCTGAGTCGTGAGTTGGCAGTAGTGTCAGCTCGAGCTGGGTCGCCCAGAAGTTCTCAGATTTGTGCTGTCATTTTAGTACCCGTTTCAACAGTCTCCACCTGCATTGCATAGAAGCAGACAAACGTGCCGTTTGATTCCAGGTTTATAGTAACTTTATTAAAATTCAAACCCTTCCGTTAGTAGCGTTTATCAGTGTTAAAAATAGAAGACAGTTATACATGGTTCTCTGGGGCAGGGATTTCCTATGCGTTTGTGAAAGAGAGATTCCAGACATGGTTTGTTCCTGCTTATTCAGAGAAAAGCAAAGGAAAAAGTAAACCCGTTGTTTCAGGTTTGTCTCACGTGAGGGTGAACCTGAAGTAACTTGGCAGAAGTCAGCGGGTAGGGTAAGTCTTCCCCAGTACAAGGCTGAATAGGGTTGTACTCACAGGGTTGCCCTGCGTTACTCCAGGTCGCCCCTTGGTGAGAGTGTCCGTACATCATTGTGGACTGAGCTAATAGTGCAATACCGTGTATAAAACTAGAAGGCCTGAGGCCCATCCTCTGAATAGTGCACTGATCAGGCGATAGCCTGAAGCATGAGACTAGTTGACTTATGGTTACTTGTACCTATATAATCTATTCCATATATAAAAGCACTTTCTCAAACCCAGCACTCAATGCAGAACGTTGTGACCTCCATCGGGATGGAGGTCTACACTCATCCAGCTCTGTGGGAGGTCATCTTCGTCCCTCCCATATGTGAAACTATCTGCCATTCACCCTTAAATACCATACAGGCCCGGACAGCAAGGAGGAGAAGATATCTACATGCAGTTGTAAATAAATATTAGCAAGCATTTCAGAAAATAAACGGTGTAACAGAGTCCAGCTATAAAACGAAGGTGTCAGCAGACATTGAACCAGCGATGACCAGATTCTGGTGAGCGTGAGTTTGTGTTTGGTCGGAGATTTTATTGCCAATAGCAATTAAAAGCAGATCCTAAGGCTTTTTTCCCTGTTACGTGCAGCACTGATGATGATTCCATTTTGTTGGCCTTCGGTGCTTGTCTAGGACAGGATTATTTGCCTTTGGTGTTACGTTTCTGGTCTATTTTCTTCATAGCAGCCTGCACCCATTTCTGTTCAGGTCTTACGCAGATCTTGAAACCTTTGGAGTGGAGAAAGCTATAGGAAGAAAGAAGGCAAACCAGGTGGCTGTTAAATTCCAGTCTCCAAACCCAGGTTTACTGCTTTTGGTTTTTATGCAGAACATGAGGAACAATGTGGTAAAACCATATCGCATGCCGGTGTTTGTAGCTGTTAGTTGGCATAACAGCAGTTAGCAATGTTAGTTGCCTGTTTATGGCATAGGTGTCTATGTAACATACGTGGTCGTGTGCCTATGTAGCGAGGTTTAAAAAAGGAACACACCTGCTCTTCTGAGATTTTTATATGACATCACGATGCACATTTACGTCCCAGGAGCAGATCCCAGATTTGATAAGAACGCATGCTCGTGAGATCAAAAGACCAAACACAGCTGCTAGGAGGAGTCAGAGTTACCCCAAACTCTTCCACGCGATCGTTCCCCTTGGCACAACTCAATGCACTGGGCTCCCGACTGCTCCACCCTGGCCCCTCGCTGAGCTTTTTCCCCACTTTCTGGGCACAAAAGATCTGGCTGTTCAGTGAGATTTCTGCCAGCGTTTGTGAGCAGCGTACCTCTCCCAGCTCTCCGAGGCCCCCCCTCTCCCCTCGCTCCCTCAGCTGCCAGGTGACTGCTTCATGGGGGAGCTGGAAGGGTGACCTGACGTAGCCAGATTTAGTGATTTGGGCCGTGAAGTGTCTTCTGATGCCCTTTCCCTTTTCAATGGTAGCGTGTTTGCATAGACGAGTCTGAAGGTGAACTGCACTGGATACTTACATGATGGCGTTTACTGGAACTTGTTGTTTTTCATAGCTGACAAGGTTTTGGATATTCCATTTCTGTGCAGACAGATCTACACACTTGAATTTACGCATGGCCTGACTTCCAATGCTCCCTAGAAGGGGAAAAAGAGAGAGATGACACAGGCAGTCAATACTGTGTTCGTGTTTAGGCTTAGTGACTTAAATTATGAATTCCAGCAGCTTTCCCCTTGTGTTCAGAACATGAGCGTCTCATGAGGTACAGCCACAAGGCCAGTTTTACAAGAGAGCTTAAGGTGTTTTTTTGTGATGCATCCTACCATCTCTAAAGCGTTATTGCTCTTTCAGTTAAGCTGCTAATCCTCACCCTTTCTCCTGAACAACTGCGTAATCATTCTGCCCCTAGGGAGTCGCTGCTTCCATAGCAGAAAAGGTGCGTGGCATCGGTCATAAGTAGGTCTGCATCATCTGCAAATAAGCGTCCGTATGGAGCAGCACTTAGAACCGGCACCTTTACTGGGTTGATTCCCAAATGCCGCCTGAATGCGGATCTGTAATTTCCTCTACTTTCCAAGTGAAGGAAAGCAAAGCAAGGCTGCTTGCTTACTTACACACTGGACATCCAAAGGTAGCATTAAAAAAAAAATTGTTGAAAGAAAGGGAGGCATATCTGCCAGAAGAAGAAGCAGTTGCATACTCTTGCTACAAGTCTGGTTTCCTAGGTAATGGAGTGCTACTTAATTGTCTCTTTCCCCCAAGGTTTTCGTACATCTCGGGGAAATGGACTGGCGATGAATGAAGAGGATCGTGATACGAGCGTAAAATTCTCTGGGCAGTAGTTACCTTACATGACGATAACTAAAAATGGGAGCTTGTTTAAGGGCGATGGAGTATATGCATACGCTACTGGAAGTCTCTGCTTGCTAGTTTCTGGTTTTCTCCCAGCCATCAAAGACAGGTTTGGGAAGGCATGAGGGGGACAAACGGAGCACTGCTGTATTCTGGGGTTTCTTTTCAAAGAACTTACAGAGAAACTGGCTTGAGAAGAGTCCAAGAGCTGTTCAGGTACAACTTGCTAAAGATGAAACCTGCTTCACGTAATCTCATCCTCTGTGAGCGTTGTTTGAAATAATTGGAATAGCTGAGGCAAACACACATCAGCCTTTGATGTGTGCACACATCAGCTGCAGTGTAGCCAGTGCATGGGTACTGGCAGAGTTGCTAATTATTGATATTTTGTTTGCCTGAAGGAATATATCTTCTGATCTTGCTTTAGTCACAAGTAATGCGATGTATTTTTCAATGATTGCAAATTATGAGCCTTACTGCCTCAGACTGGATTTCAAAATGTGACATTCAAGAGCTCAAAGATAGTCAAGGAATCCTTACTAGTCCTGAAAATATTCTTTCTACTACTAAGCTATCTCCAGGGAATGCGTGAAGGGAATACCAGCAGAGCTTCTCTAAGCCTGGGAAGAAAACCAAACTGCTCTGCACCTATAACAACCCTTTTTTTCCTGGTAGTTTTTTTTTTTTTTCTTTATCATTCTTCTTTCCTAATCCTTTTTCTATCCCTCGCACACCATCTCAGTGTGCTTTTTCAGACTTGGTGATATTTATGGCAGATAGACAGCCTGGAGAATGACATTACAAAGTGGCAGTCTGTGATACAAAGCCACATGTTGCCAAGATGAACAGCAGTAGTGTTCATCAACGTACGAGAATGTAGGATGACCCAGCTGTAGGGGCACGAGGTTGACATACTCAGTCTGTAGCTGCATATTCTTGTGAATGCTTAGCAGGTCTCAGTTTGGTTTTGGTGTGGTTTTGTGAAGATGCCTTTTCTGTGTGTGTCTCTTTGCATATTTTTGTGGGTTTCCATACAGCTTGCATAGGAGTGTTTTCTCTGATTTTTATGTGCTTGTTTGCGTGAATCTGATTGCGTATAAGAAGAAATCTGCTTATGTGTGTATGTTCCTGTTTTTGCATAGTACAGGTAGCCTAATCCAAAAGTCACAGACCTAAACATCACTGTAGACAAACTTATTTAAAGCATGGCTGATAAACGTGGCCCATCTCAGTGCTCAGAAATGGTCTCAAAGATGACCTTAAATTGTATGAAATCAGGACGAGAGAGAGGACATTGTATAAATCCATTGCTCTCCTTTGCAGTTTTTGTTCATAATTTGCATCTCTGTACGAAAATATTTGTCTAGAAACATGCAAATAGGCAACATGTGATAGAGAACTGGAAGAACTTTTTAAAATAGGGACATTAGAGGGATTAAGGTTATATAGTTAGAGAAAGACAAATAAAAAGTAATAAAAATACATATAAAGATAGTATATCTGTAAAAAGAAAAAAGTACATCTTCAAGTAATATTTTTCATAAAACATTATTAACCTATAGAACTGATTGCTATATGGCATCAGTGAGATGAAAAGACATTGTGTCTTCAAGATTTCACGATTGCGAGAGAGAGAATCATGCACCGAAACCCCTTAAGCGTTCTCAGGCACAGAAACTGCCCTTGCATTAAGGCGGCAGCCAGCTACTTGTTGGCAGGGCATCGGATGAAATCTCCCATGAAGCTGCCTTGCCTGCCGTTCTGACCTGGATTTCTCGTGAGTTTTATCTTGTGAATCAGCTCTGGCTGAGGATGAATCCTGCTCGCGTAGCACCGCTGGTGCTACGTGGAGCAATTCCTGCCTTCCCCTTGGGTCGTGAACGTACCTTTTGCCGTGCGCACAGTGAAGACGCCAAGCCAGAAGATGACGAGGATAGCTGCAGCGTGGAGTCTCATTGCTGGTGGCTTCTTTGTCAAGGCAGAGCAGCAAGTGGCTCTTGTCAGCCCCCTTTCACAGAGTTTATATGTTGTCATTCGGTGGTCAGTTCTTGTGTTCACTTTTGGGGCGTCATGGGGGGGCTGACTATAAGTGGAAAAAACTGAGTGGCAGCACTTTTTCTGGTGACAGAGAAGCACCTCCTTTCCCTCGCCCGTCCTTCACTAGCCCCCCTGTGAAGGCTTTTCCTGCTCAAACCCTGCTGTGGTTGCGCTTGCTTCTGTGTTGCGAGTGGGGTTTATTTCAAGCTGCAAAAAGTGAGAGCTCTTGTTCTGTAGTGGAAAGCTTTAATAAACGTTCCTGTCCTTTCACACCTTGGTTTAGAGAGCTGTAGCTAAGCCGCAGCACAGAGGCACATTCAGAGGTACCTCTTTGACCAATGGACCGCTTCAAAGGGGAACTCTGAGCTAAGAGGTGGTGGAAACGGGAACACCTTGGCTTTTTCCATAGTGGCTGTAGGAAGTTGGTCACTTTAACGCATAGCTTTGGAGGGGTCTCCTGTTTCCTATGATAGAGAGAAGTTTTCTCCCTATTGAAAGAGGAGATGCTCCCTCACTTCTGCTCACTGATGTGGTGTGTATATGTACGTATATATTCACTATCTACTGCTTTGAGAGGAAGGGTCACCAGCTGTATTGAGCATGAGCCAGCTCAGAAAAAGTTAGTCCTTCCCAGTGAAGCTTCTGCAGGTTGTAGATTCATCCCTGAGGTGTTGTTAGAAAGCCTGTTGCTTCTTCAGTTTTCCACCATTCTTAAGGTGGGATGGGAAAATTGCCCTGTGGCAAGTTTTTCCCCTCTTTGTACTTCTCATTTGCTGTGGCCTCCTGGGATGTCGTTCTGCGTAGCTGGCTTTTGTCCAGTGAAGTCTATGTTTTGGAGAATAGTTTTGTGGGCTGGAGTCCCACAGCTCTGTTTGTGGATATTTGGTGATCTCTGGTGTTGTAATGTTGTATAAGGCTCATTTTGCATGTACTCTAACGCCAGTGTGCTGCCTCTGTGCTGTGGCAAAAGCTTAGTGCAAGATGATCAGACATTTTCTGGCTGCGAAGTCATATTAAAGAGACAGCTAATAAGTGCCCAAAGTACTTTTCCTATTAGTGCTTCTCAGCTCTGGATAAGTTGAATGCTAATAATACTTGTCCTGGGGCTTGACTGCCCCTTGTATGGCTCACTCATCACAGGCATTGAAAGCATTTTGGAATAAAATAATCATTTGCAGCTTGTGATACAGCCACCGATGAAATGGACGGTATGATTATGGAGTTCTCTCATAGTCTGTAAAGTCTGAATTGTGGATAAAGATGATTAACTTCACCATGATGCTTCCCAAACCCTTGGCTACAGGTACGATGTTGCGTGTGCCATTAGAGCTGCCCCTTCTCCTCCCCTCCACATCTCACGTTTAACACGTGCACTCTTTGCTGAGAGAAGGCAGGTGCAGACAGTGGATATTGCAGGTATGGATGTGTAGATGTATCGGTATTTAACCTTTGGATCCTGCTCATGTGCAGAAAACCACAGACTTTGAGTTAGTCTCCTAGGGTTTCTATATGACGTGGGGGGAGGCTGGGACACAGCCCTGGGAGAGGACAGCAACAGCACGTTCCTGCTTGAGAGTTCAAGGGCTCTCCTAAGCCCTTCAGCCCCCATTCAAGGTCAAGAAATTTTTACTGAAATAATTGTTGTATATACCCCGTTTCATGTCAGCAACCCTGCTAGAAGGAAAGAAATATACAGTGAGCAGGGTGTTGGGCCTAATATCAGAGTTTACTTTCCAGGGTACAGAGTCTGAAGTATTGCATCTTCTCATACTGTAGTTAGCTTTCAAAAAAGAAGAGGGCAAGATCTTCACAGATAAGTAAATTCTTATGTACTCCTAGAAATGAGCATCTTTAGTGAATCTTCAGCAGCCCCTTGAACTTGAAGATGTGCCAGCCCATCACTGTCACTTTTGAAGACTAAATCAGGGCATTCAGTGACTTTAAGAGGGGAGCTAAGAACCTCAGCTTAGGCACATCTATATCTCAGAAACTGTTTTTAGGGTGGGAGATGTCACCTCAGGAGATACATGTCTTTCTCTGTTATGTACAGTAACAATATACGTGTGTTGTTATGCCGGACACGGTAAGTGAGCAAAGTTAGGTGGGATAAATCTGACCCTAATGTATTTTGGTTTTACATTGTTTCTTAACAGTTGGAGTACTGGTTTAAGAATTACCAGCAAGTGACATCCAGCTGTGATATTTAGATGACTTTCCTTCCCCCTTCTTCCTTTGTTTTTCATCACTTTTGCTGTGTAGATTTCATGCTGATTTCATAGGTACTTCATTTAATTTCACTTTCTTACTGAAATTGCTGTTGTCTTTCTATTTGTGCCTTCCCACCACGCTTGTTAGGTCATGCTCCGTAGTACAGCATAGCTTAAACTATTTACGTACTTTTAAACTCGCATCTGAATTTATGCCCGCTAAGCAGCACAGATTAGGTATATAATAACGACCCACTGAAGTCAGTATCCCACTGTAGTACCTGCTTAGTTTTTTAGTTAGATTGGGGCATTGAAGTGTGGTCAGATAACAGCTGATGACAGAATTAGCGTGATGTAGGAAGTTTCTGTCCCTCACCTGGAAACAGCAGTTTATGTTCAGTCTTTTCCATTCATATTGTAATGGAGTAGAAACACACACATGCTCGATGCTCACATCTCAGCTGAGAGGCAATGACTTTTAATCTAATTTGATCACTTAAATCACATTTTTAATAACTATTCTGTTTTGTGCCGGTTTTGGCAGAACTCCTCCTTTAGAAATGTAACCCTACTAACAATACTTTCTCTTAATCATAACAGAGTTTTTGCTTGTAAACCATCTGTTTCCACTGCTATACTGCCAACTTTTCCCTGGTCCTGCTGACATGCTCCTCTCTGTGTATCCTGTGCTCTTAAATAAGTTAGTTGTGTCAAAATCTTTCCTTCAGTCATCCAACTTGAAGCATTCAGATACATAAAATTAGACTGAGAATGTTTTGGTTTGAAAGAGACCTTGCTCCAAACATACAAAGGCTACTCTACACTCTGCCGTCAGCTCTTCAGTCAGCTGTATGTGGGCATGCACTTGTTTTGCTGATGTCTTAAGCTGACTTGACATGAATGTGGCTTTCTCCATATAGCAGAGGTCTTTGGTCTTTCTTTCATTGTGTTGTTTTGTTTTGTTTTTCAATGAATACAGTTGTGGTGGGTTGACCCTGGCTGGATGCCAGGTGCCCACCAAAGCTGCTCCATCACTCCCCCTCCTCAGCTGGACAGGGGAGAGAAACTACAACGAAAGGCTCATGGGTTGAAATAAGGGCAGGGAGAGATCACTCACCAATTACCATCACGGGCAAAACAGACTCAGCTTGGGCAAATTAGTTTAATTTATTACCAATCAAATAAAAGTATGGTAATGAGAAACTAAAAACTAAATCTTAACACACCTTCTGCCCACCCCTCCCTTCTTCCTGGGCTTAACTTTACTCCTGATTTCTCTACCACCTTCCCTCCAGCGGCGCAGGGGGATGGGGAATGGGGCTTGCGGTCAGTTCATCACACATCTCTGCTGCTCCTCACACTCTTCCCCTGCTCCAGTGTGGGGTCACTCCCACAGGAGACAGTCCTCCACGAACTTCTCCAATGTGAGTCCTTCCCATGGGCTGCGGTTCTTCACCAACTGCTCCCTGCGGGTCCCTTCCACGGGGTGCAGCCCTTCAGGAACAGGCGTGGGTTTCCCACGGGGTCGCAGCCTCCTTTGGGCATCCACCTGCTCTGGCGTGGGGTCCTCCACGGGCTGCAGATGGATATCTGCTCCACTGTGGACCTCCATGGGCTGCAGGGGGACAGCCTGCCTCACCATGGTCTTCACCACGGGCTGCAGGGGAATCTCTGCTCCAGCACCTGGAGCACCTCCTCCCCTCCTTCTTCACTGACCTTGTCTGTCTGCAGGGTTGTTCCTCTCCCATAGTCTCACTCCTCTCTCTGGCTGCAGTTGCGCAGGTTTGGTTTTTTCTCCTCCCCCTTCTTAAATATGTTATCCCAGAGGTGCTGCCACCATTGCTGATGGGCTCAGCCTTGGCCAGCGGCAAGTCCATCTTGGAGCCAGTGGCATTGGCTCTATGGGACATAAGGGAAGCTTCTAGCAGCTTCTCGCAGAAGCCACCCCTGTAGCCCCCGCGCTACCAAAACCTTGCCATGCAAACCCAATACAACAGTCACCCAAGAGTTTACAAGAGGAAGACTCTGATCCTCATCTTTATAATCTTAGTTAGTCTTGCCTGTTTTGGTTCTTTGTGAGGTGCATACCAGGAGGCTAACTAAACACTGCGCAACTCTCTTGCTGCAGAGAATCACAGAAGTGACTATAGCCCAATTCTGTGAAGGTATCTAAATATAGTACATGCTGAAACAGGAGCCAAATACCTTTGGGAATTTGTGGAATATTCTCAGTCCATCCTGTTGCTTTTTTCTTCCTTGTTTTGTGTTTTTTTTTGTTGTTTCTTTTTCTGCTTTCTCTTCCTTAGCTCTCATGTAAAACAGAGAATGCAGATTTTGTTTAGTACTTCTTTCTGTGCGTGCCATATCTGTAGGATCAAGGATGTGGGAACCAAGTCTTATTCTGTTAGTCTTCAGCAGAAGAATCAAGCCTATTGTGTGAAAAATAAATACTCTTCTTGGTTAACCGTGGATAGTCAGTGTCTGTAGACACTGGTGATGGATCTGAACCAATATGTTGCTTCTGGGTAAACCTCAGCTTTCCTCAGAAAACCAAAGAAGCTCAGATGCCGATCTTTTCTCAATGGGGACAGTTTTCTCAACTGTATCTCATGCTCTGGAGAGTGCCCCTTGGCCAATTCATATGTGTTTGGATTCCTTTGCTCCGTGACGGTCATCGCAGCGAATATGTTGAAGAGCTAAGATTGTCAGGGG